TATATATAGTCAGTAGAACTGTCCAGTCCAAATTATCTCCTGAGCCACATCAACAAAATATTATTTAAATAGGAGGCAATGAAAAATAACATTAAAAAAGGCGAAAAACAAATATATTTTCTTGTTTTTAAATGATAAATGTTCCTTTACAGCAAAATATGTTATTACTGTACATCACTTTATTGGTAATCTGTGATTTTAAAAAATATATAATGAATTTATTTTTAACTGTTGCTAAGATTTGTTCTTTCCATTCTGATTTAGGTCAAACATCAAGCAGCACTGTGTTCTATATGATTATAAAGGAAGGGAACAAAACACACGTTTACTGGAGAAATGATCGTTGCAATGTTTCCATCTCTTATATAAGTAGCACTCTCTGAAAGGTTATTTTATTTTTTCATGCTAACAGTATAAAAAAYGATGGAAACAAGTGACATGAAGTGGTAGCAGCTGTCTGAAGAACAAAATGACAATAGGTCAGGGTTAATACTTACCTCTTGTTTCTAACCCATTTCCACAYGCTTCTCCTGATCCAGATAATCCTCGCCTTACAGAATCAGGGACCAGAGTACAACTGTGCCACTTGTGCATCCTCCATCTGCAAATACCAAGACGATAGATGATAAAGTTCTGCTGCAGTTTTAAAACAAATACTACATTGTTATCACTCTTGTTAGTTTGTATCTAATGATACTGAGCTGCAGGATGTAATGTYATTGTTGTTGACAGAAAAAAATGCCATTAAATCTGTGCAGTTTTAATGGCCCTCTGGTTTGGTGTTAATCCTGCAGGCAGCACAAATGAATAKTAGACACTTTTTTTGATTAGTATACTTTCTCTTCTGAGTGAAGTTGGGAGGCAGATCCAGRCATGTTGACAGTAAACACCAAAACAAACACCCGTATTAGTTTAGACCTTGTAACCGCATGTCTAATATGTATTTGCATCATTATGAGTTGTGCAATAATACAGAATAATGACTTCGAAAAGGAAGACAGAGACTGAGACCCSGTTGTAAATGATTGTTCCCCTTGTTTATTTATTTTTAGAATAGCAGGTGGTAAAATTTGAACCATAATAAATCGTTTTTACACTTGTTAATGTCTTACATTTTTAATTAAAGCATCATTTGCATGATGAATTAAATTTGTTACTTTGACAGCAATGATACTGTTTGTTTTTTGTTTTGTTCTTGTTTTTTTCCAAATGGATTTAAAAAAATCAATGTGCATGTATCCATATCAAACTGTTCAGTTCAATACACAYTATGTGTCAAACAATGCAGATTTTTAAAATGTATTTTATCAACTTGTCTTCTGAAGATGCTCTGTGTTGAAGGATCAGTGGATCTGTGTTCGWCTACTCCATCTAGGCTGCATTGACGAGCACAGATCCACTGAGAAACCTGCTGTTTCAGCAACATTTCATTTAAGAACTATRCTGTTGAGCYTAAACAAAYGTTCATAATTGATTTCAATAAAKTRGAAGTTAATAAGGGCATGGAAATGTTTGGTTTTTTTGTATAAAAAAAACAAACTTTGAAACTAAAGTATCAAACCAAATYGAATCGTGAATTTTTGGTATTGTTGCACATCTAATAAAAAGGTCTGTCTATATATCTAACCATCTGGTAGGATGTTGACATTTTTTAAGTTATAAATCCAAGAGTTTTCTCCTGTCAAAATGTATTTTCTTCATTTTTTTATGATAGTTCACTTTTATTTATCAATTTGTTGCTTAACTACAGAAAGCTAATTGCAGTTTGAATTCATGACCTTTCAACAAACAATTAATTACACGGATCAAAGCAATCAAATCGTAATTAATTAAGAAGGCTTCTTCTCTGCCTCTGTTGCGTTCTGCCTGTCCTTTATTTTGACAAATCTACTTTCAATCTGTTTCACTTCGAAGTCTGAAGGACCTGAGAGTGCTGCAGGCATTAGTATGTACTTGTGAATGACTGTAGTTGTAGAGAGGTCATTTAAACTCCAGTATTTTCATTATTACTTGAATGTTATATTTTAGTTTGAAAGCATTTTTAATTAAGTATTTACCTTGACACATTTAAAAAGTACTTGTCTATATGATCAAAAATAATTGACTATTCTCCTTTTTAAGATAATTTAGTATTTTAATTTTACTAATTTATAATGGGAGACATTCCACGTCTTGGGACGTGGAATGTCACTTCTCTGGTGGGGAAGGAGCCGGAGCTCGTGTGCGAGGCNAGAGGGAGGTCTGGGCCTCCCTTCTGAAGCTGCTGCCCCCGCGACCCGACCCCGGATAGGCGGAAGAAAATGGATGGATGGATGGATGGATATAATGGGAGAGTTGCCTTTATGATTAAAATAACTTAATGAATCACCTAATGTACTAATAAGAAATAAAATATGATAAAAGGTACTTTTTACCTGTAAACTGGACACACACCAACTGAGTCACATTCCCTTTCTTCATACAATGTGTCCGGACACTCTTGGCCTCCACTAGTTGGCATCTGAATGATGGTTCTGTACCGAGACTGTGTGGCAGCGGTTGAATTCTCTGTAAAACACAAAAGTCAAACTTACAAAAAAATAAAAATAAATAAAATAAAAAAAGGTCTGTGTACAATCACACAATATTTTCACAGGCAATTTAAATGAGGAAAAGAAGGATGATAGGACAACAAGTGCCTGGTAATTGTCTCGGATGTCAAACAGATAAAGATTGAATATCAGCAGAGCGAGATGACATCTCAAAGAGACAGCMGAAGAAACAAGAGGCCTCAGAATTGATCTGATTCTGATTAGCGTGCCCTTGATGGCTGTGATGTCCTCCRCTCCATTGCAGTCTGTTCTCGGACACACCACCCTGTAATGGCTTCATTTGGCTCGAGCTCCAAGGCTCATTACACTACACTAATTACAAAACACTGAAAATGCTGCAATTAAGAAAGTGATTACATCGTCAGCAGGCCCAGTGGACWACAGCATATTTACAGAGATGAGATGCCTTCTCAGTTCTTCTAAAAAAAATTACATTTTTTTTCTGATTTTCCAGATACTACAGTACACATATAATATCATTAAATACCCATTTTCCTCTTGATGTGTCGGTTCAACGTTATGAACATTTGCCATTATCATTTGCACTGAAAGGTAATTCTTAACCATAAAATAATATGTTTGAAGTTAACAAACAGCTGTCAGGTGAACRCACACATTTCCAATATTGTATACCATGCAAGTTGTTATATACGGAGCCTGCGAGGGGACATGGGGAATTTTTTTCTTTTGCGTTCCCATGCAATACTATTGCGTTACCTCACAATATCTTTGCGTTACCTCGCAATACTTTTTACGTTACCTCGCAATACCTTTTGCGTTACCTCGCAATATTGTTTTGCGTTCCCACGCAAAAGTTTGATTTTGAATATGAACTGAATGAAATCAGACTTTTATTTTGAAATATCCGGTTACCAAAACAGGATGTGTCACCACAGTTAGTGAAATTGACATTGATGTTGCGTGGCTGCACTGTGTTAAAATATTGGCATATGACATACTTCCATGCGTAGTTGTGTGATATACTCATTCTAAAGCTGAAGTAGGCTAACTCGCTAATGGTGAACTTGTGAATTTGTTGTTAAACCGGCAGGCACAACAGTGATAAATGACTTTTGCAAGGGAATGCAAAAGGTATTGCGAGGTAACGCAATACTGTTGCGTGGGAACACAAAAGAAAAAAATATCCCATGTCCACTCATGGGCTCCAAAGTTATAAAATGTTTAAGAATTCAGAAATACTTTCTGAATATTGAAAAATGCAGCTTTGTTAGGCTGATTTTCTTTCGCTATTATCTGATTATAATATAGCATTTAAAAATGTTGACCTTTAAAAAGTCCTTGAGAAAAAGGTTACCGCCATCATTAAATAGCTGATTGATTCCCAAGAGGTTACCTAATCATTAGACAGCAGTTTCTAAAGTAGTTTTATGTAGAAATCCATGTAAAGAGCTACCTGTGAGGCAGGCTGAGGGGCAGGCTGTCCATTCACTGAACGGTGTCACCACGCAGTCCTTTTTGCAGGGAAGCCAACAGGACTGGACACTTTCTGGACGAGAAGACTCTAAACAYCTAAAGAAACAGGCAAACAGTCATTACAAACTCCAAACACCRTGGTGAATGATAAAAGACACGGTTTCTAAAGCGGTAAAAAGGGTGGAGAGCAAGAGTGTGGCGAAACAAATGCCCCGTCCTTCACATGTTTCCCCACAGGATACATGATTGATTATRCGCCGTCCTGCTTGAACGCTCGGACAAAAAGGTTTATGTGCACATTTTTTAGTTCACCGGTTTTGCTTCATGATAAAAAAAATAATTGTTGGTATTATTAATTACTCAACTGAACCATTATTTTGTTTGTTTAACGGCATGTTTTAATGTAAAAAGTCAGAAAACAGAAAAATGGATGTGTGGCTGCTAATTAAACCAATAAAATGTGAGAACAAACAGCTCAACTGTGTAACTCATACACCTTCAAAAGGTGCTAAAATGTTAATATTGATCATTTTCTTGTGGTAAAGAACAAAACAAAACAGTTTTTATTCAGGCTGATGAGTAKTTTAGATGATGTTTTAGTCCTTGTTGTATTTTCTGTGTTAGAGCTCTAAAGAGATGAGGATTATTTCAGCTACAGTATGTAAAAATCAAATAAGTCACGAGCTTTGATGTCTTTATCAACTAGCAGGCAAACTCCTCCTCCTCGACACGCAGGCGTGCATGCACAGCCTTCCAAATTTCATTTCAGACACAGTTACATTTTCTTTCTCGACAACCAGATCCAGGTCTCACTAGAGGCCCAGCGTGATGCCACATCCCACCAGCTGCAAGAAAAGCCAGCATGGACAGGAACGAGATCAAAGTATGCCAAAGCATGAGAAGGCAGGATATATAAAACCTTTCCTTTTCCGAGCTTTATCCCCTCTCTTCGCTCACCATTTTTTTTGCATTGGCACTGATGTATGCCAGAGGGCATGGCAACGCAACAAAGCAGCTGGGGGAATATTGTGGGATTTGCCCAAAATGAGGACGTTACACTCACAGTCAAGATCATGGTGCTCAGCTGACGACACTGGGAGGACTCAGTCTCTATAATATTTATAGGGATGCAATAAAAATTACTGAGTGTKCATGATGTTAAATAGGTGCAATGCTTATAATACTATTACACAATTGTGATAAGTTAAAAATCGCATTGAACTTATCACAAATAGGTAATTTTTCATAATATTGAGATAATATTGTTACACAGATGTGTTGCTAAATACTCAATTTTCAGAAAAAAGAAAAAAGAAAAGCAGAAATAATAAGTGAAAATCAATCTAACATTAGCCTGCAGGCAGGCTCTGGACTGAGATGAAGAAAAGAAAAAAAAAACATAAAGCTTTTTGTTGAGCCGCGGCTCTCTGCAGAGATTATTGCCCACCATGAAATGCTAAGATGTTTGCTGACTCAAGTGACCCTTTTCCAGCAGCACAGCATCAGTTGTGTTTGGAGTTTGCTGCTCCTCAGATGGAGACAAATCAAAAACATTAAAACATGATTTTTTGGCGATCAACAAACAGAAAATATAATAGAAATAGAGCTTTTTCATGTCTTCTTTTTGTTCAGTACAAAAAAAAAGTGGAATCATTTTTTTGTAATTATTAGTCCTGAAGCATAATTTGAGGTTTGATAAGCTWTGCTAAATATGGGCTCATATCAGCAAAATCCCAAGCAAACAGGACACAGATTTGATGGGTGGAACAAAATATCTTTTTTTTTTTTTGTATAAACACACCAGCTAACTTTTTACTAACTGTCAAAATCATCTCCAATGAATGGCAACCTACAGGTCCAAGCTCGAGGTGCTGTTTYCATTAAATGAACACTTTGCTGCCATATGAATAGAAGCAAAGTGATTAAATTCACAGCACACTGTACATGCGAAATCTGTTGGTGGAGCAGAAATGACAGCTTTCATTAAAGCTTTTGTGGCGGGAGACAGGGCGAGCATGGGAAAAAAAAGTCTCTCCATAATCCATTTTATGGGCCTGTCAATAATATGTTGAGYTAAAGAAGGGCAAACTTTGTGAATTATTTATAAATCTGTCTTTCTGGTGTGGGCTTTAACATCATTAAAGTGACAGCACAAAAGCCCTTAGCAGTGTTTGATATTGTATTGCTGAAAGAGAAGGATAATGGGGGAGCAGAGGCAAGATGAATTTCTGGTTCACACAGACACAGTTGCACACACACACACACACACACACACACACACACACACAAACTCACAACAAGACTACAAAATACAGAATGAATGCATAAAGGAAGATGTCAGTTCACAAAACTCTGGGGATATGTTTTCTCTGTGTATCAAGTCCTTTGAGTCATCTTTAAATACCAGAACAATTCTCACATTCTAAAGTAAGACATTTTCTGATAAATGGAGCTTGGGTGAGAATTTTTTTTTATGAAGAACATGATCACATCTCTAACTACCTACTCATTTTCTCACTAATTTATCATCTGACTCATTTTCTTGTATCTAAAAGTAATCAAAGCAGCAGTGAAAAGAGAGAGAGAGAGAGAGAAAGAAAGCACATTGTGTTTTAAATGATAGTTCCCTTCTTATGTTGGTAAAATTATTCTTATTGTCTTTAATTACATCTGGAATGTGAACACTAAGTAGAAAGCACTCMTTTCTTTAATTTGATAGAAAAAAATCCATCTGGTAGAGAAAACAAATGTGTACACGTGTTAGGATTTGTACACTGATAAAAAATAACTTGTAAGATTTACTTGAAAAAAATCCTTGTAGCAATTTGCACTAACGTTTGATAAGTAAATTTAAATGTTACAAATTCAAGTAATATTTACTCATCATTATCTAGTAAAAGTTACTAAGAATATATTTAAAAATTTGTGAGTAAATCAGGTAAATTTAATTTAATTTGATCAAGTATATTTAAAAGAAGTAAATAAGCAAATTAAGTAAAATTTACCTGATTTAGTCACAAATCTGTTGAGATTTTTCAAGTAAATCTTACAAGTTCTTTATGTCAGTGCACATGCATTGAGCACATATTGTAGCATGACACCTCACAGCTACAGAGAGAGGTGTAGCTCTTTGTTGTAGTTCAAGACTTCCCCACCAGGTGGCAGTTTTGAAGAACCTTTATTGGATTCTTCTTCATGAACAACACAGACAAAGTGAAACTCACAGGTCTTATCAATGACTAGGCCTACCACTCTCACTTATGGTTACTTCTGCTGAACGCTTTAACACAAGTTAACAAATAATGAACACACAAGTTAGAGTAACACAACAGACTAATTGCTGAAAGAACTATTTTAACCAATTCCCTAAAATGATTTGACAACAACAAACTTGAATCCTACCCACAATCCTCCACTGCAGTCACATGACAAACAGCCAAACACAGCAGAATGCTATAATATGCATTCCCTGTTCCCTGACAACTAAATATCACCTACATTATGCCATCAAACTATTGCACACCAACAAATGTATTCWAGCAAAAGAAACCAGACAACTTATGTTTTATTTCCACCATGTCTTGTCCTCTCCTTGAAAAGTGAAGCAAGGGAATGAGGAGCAACAGCCTTTGTGTGTGCATGCACCCTCAGTTTTAGCCCAGAAGAGTAGAAGTTACTTAATATATTCATATTAATGTGCTGTCCAGAAAAAAGTACTTAAATATTAGTGGTAAAAAAAGAGCATTTACTTTTTTGTCTACAGCACTATTGAAATATAATATAATGTGTATTGTTTATTTAGTAAATTCTGATAGTTTAGAGATTTTGATGTTTTTTGTAAAATTTAAAAAGAATAATTAAATAAATGTTACTACACCCAAAAGTTTGTTTTTTCAGTGTAGAGAACTGTATGTAAGGAACAAATACTAGTAAGAACCAATGAAACACACAATCCAAAAAAAAAATAATACTGCACAGCAAAACAGTATCTAATGCATTCACACTGCATTGCACATGGAAMACTGTCTCAAAGCTGCCAGCACACCTTTTATTTACGACGGGACCAGCATTCATCTTCATGCAGCTGACTTTACGACTCTGGACACCAGCAGCACAGGCAGAAGTCTCATTCCACGGGCTTGTTCCATTAAGATCAGCCGAGGTATTCACAAAACAGGGACCCCAAGCTGAAGCCTCCCAGTAAAATACCRTACAGGGATGGTTGTTGCAGACTCGCCACTCCTCTAAGGCTGGAGCTGCTGGGCAGGCTTTCCCCTCTGGATGTGAACACATAAAGAAAATGGATAAAGAATCAAAAAGAAAGAAAAAATACACTATATGGTATCTTGAAAATAAAAGGTGTACATTGATGTATTGCCTAAAGCTACAACATGGCAATCCTTTTTTTTTTTTTGATGCTCGCTCTGCTTTAGCTGTCATATTCCATTTAATATATATGACAACATATAGCTTCAACATCTCTCAATCTGCAAACAGGTGATGTTAAAAAAGAAAAAAAAAACACTCAAGGTGGTTTTTAGTCTTTCTAGCAAACTCATCCAAATGTCAAACTGAACAAGGCTCAAATAAAATGAGATGAATAAATAAACATTAGTGCTAAATGCCAGAATCCACGTGGTTAGTATGCTAAATATCAAATGATAGACGAGTTTTATGGACTGGTTGTCAAGTTAAAGCATTTAGGTTTTCTGTGAGGTCTGCAAAAATAGCATGGGAAAAAAAGTTTTCCAAATAACTTTACATGAATGTTGCTTGACTGTAAGAGGTACCTTGAGTATTCAGAGAAAGTCCACACAGAAAGCACAGGGAGAACATAACAACTCCACCAGTAGGCCTAGCAGAAAGCTGAACCTGTAACCTCTTATCTGGCAACAGTTCTATCCGACTGCTAGTTAAGCAGCCGTAAAAACAAACAAACAAACAAAAAAGGTACCACTTTATAAAAAAGCCTCCCCTTATAGAAGACATATAAATAGTTTATAAATAGGTTATTAATTCATTCGTAAGTGTTTAGTTTGCATTAATTTAAAACGAGAACAAGACAAAACTGTCTGGTTTCTGGCCAAAAAGTGAGCCAAACCTGTTAATCTACATATTACATCTAAAATGCGCTATATTAAAAATTTCAGACTAGGTGACTACCTTGTAAGCACAATCATTTATTTGAAACACATATTATAATATTGTTCTGCATTATACATATCCAAAATTCTCAAAAGAAGCATTATTGTAACGTGTAAGACGGCACAGTATTTAATAATGATTAATAAACCTTTCTCCCTTTGATACTGTGGATATGTATATTGCAGTAATACAGTACAATATTATAGGTAAAACATGTGTTGCCTATAAAATATTGTGATTACAAAGCTAGTCTGTAACGTTTAATTTTGCACCTTTAGAGGTAATATGTACATGAACAGATCTTGCTAACTATTTGTCAAGAAACTGGACAGCTTCTCTTTCTTGTCTTTAACTAATGCATAATAAAYACTTAACAATTTATAAAATGTTTACAGAAGAAAATTATAACCTATCTATAAACTATGTAAAATCCATCTATAAGGGGAGCCTTTGTGTAAAATGGTACAAAAAACATTAAATTGAGCTTAATTAAAGCTTAGTTTGTGCTTAACCAACAAAAGMAGTGTAATAGATCATGTCTACTTTCTCATCAGACTTTGTGTTTGTTTAAGACACAGTGAGGATCATTATGTTCCTTAAAAGATTAGCTTTAAAATGTTAAGCGTGTGTTTCTGATGTAAAGCAGCAGCTCTGTTTAATAGTCATTTTAAAAATTGTTCAATATAAAATAAAGTGATCCACAGTTAACTCAGTGTGTTAAAAGGGATACAGTAAAAGTGTCTAGGCTTCCCTTTACAGAAAGGCATGACTGACTTTGTCACTGAACCACAACCAAAGAAATACCTGCACTTCTGCTCTGCTTTCCAATCCCTGGCTCTTCGGTGCGTCGTTACAAAGATCCCAACACGCACGCACAATAAACACTAGCGCAGCCCTCACACAAACCGACACTCCGAGCTCCTCTGCCAGCAAGCAGATAGCCAGCAACCTGGCTTAAGCCGCAAGATTCTTTCATCAGCTGTTATTGCTGATACGTGTTTAGTTACAGGGATTAATGGGCAGCAGTCGACTGCCAAGGCTGTCTGACTCGAAAACACAACACGCTGTGTGTGTCGAGAAATACTTGCCTGAGGAAACGTTCCTGATAATGGATGGTCAGCTCAAACCTCAACTGTTTTCCAAGATGAAAAATGTCTGTTTAAGGCTCTTAAATCTAGAGAAACAGCCAAAAGACTGCAGTGTTGGGAAAATCTCTTCTGATAAAACCTCTTTTTCAATCCCTTTTTATTTACTATTTGCTGACGCTACTTTTCGGTTAGTTCTAGATTTCTTCATTTAAATTCACAGAAACAGTAAGGAGACACATTTCAGTCTCTGAGCCTCTGATTCTTACTAACAAATCAGTTCAGTCTTTTCATTTAATATTTCCAAAAGCACAACCAGTTTGTGTGTTTTCTGTTATCTCATKAAGTTTGCACATCACCTCATAATAATGATTGATTAGTAATTGGTTAATGATTCATTGCTTCTGTGCCATCCTTGTGAAGCAAAGTCACATCTATCTGCTGGATAGAGAAAAAAAAACCAAAAAAGTTTAGAAGAAAATCAAAATAAGCACGATCCAAGTTTCAAATATGCACCAAAGAAATAGTTCATGTACAGTGAGCCTGCAACGTGTCAACGTAATCAAAGAGAATTTTAGATTACCTTTCCCCGGGATGGCCAGGACCGTGCGAGYGCGGCTCTGCTTGCCCTCTGCGGTTTTTGTTGCACAGCTGTGAGAGCAGGTCGACCACGAGGACCAGGAGCCGACCACACAGTCTGCAGAACAGGCCACSTCGCAGGTCTCCTCTGTGGGCGGAGGGTCATCTGTGCAGTGTGTGTTGGCCACAACATCTCCTGCAGAAAACATAATAACAAATGTGAAACAGAGACCTCAGATTTGTGACTTCAAACTGAGTGAAGATGAGGTGGCTTACACAGTTTGTCTCTCTTCCTGACCAGACAAAACACATCTTTAGTCAATGATATATACTGTATAGAAGCATAAGTCAGTATAAAATCCTATTTTTCTCCTTACTTTTAGTGAAATAAACTACATGTTCTATGCATCCAATAGACTTGATAATTCACACCTGAAAGTCTGGTAGACTCGGTTCGATTGGGGACCAAAATTGCAAGATTTCTTTACATTTTCAGTTGTTACGGTTCACATTCACACTGYRCTKTGTCAAACAAACTAAACCCTGTGAACWACCTGTTCCCTCCCTCACCTGTGGTGGCGCTGCACCAAGACCTGCTGAAGGAATCGGCACAGAAACCTCAGAGAAGACATGGAGCAACTTCCTTCTTCACAAAATGTAAACACACATAGAGCAATGTCAGATTTTAATAGGATTTATTTATTTATTTATTTATGCATTTTAGTTTTGGCAAAGGTTCCAAACAAACACTCGTCATCATTGAGCTCATCATGAGACGAAGATACTGTGGAACTGTGGAGAATATTGTTTTCCCACACAAGCAGGGGCGGTTCTAAGGGCGGGGCCACAGGGGCATTGGCCCCAGCTGAAATCTGATTGCCCCCCTGAAATGCCCCAGTCCTGTCACTCATCTGTTCTTTACCTGGGGGTGATGATGGTGGATGCAATTYCATGTTCAAACACTAGTTGCACTAATGAGTCAAATAGTAAAGTCCAGAATGAATCAAGCTGACAGAATTCTTCTTCTCTTCTTAAAATGTGAACAATCCTGCAAAAAGTCTTTCAACTGACAAATGATGGCTGGATTTTCTCACATGTTGTGTGTTTGAAAATATTGTATCTATGTACAGTGAAATGTATGAAAAACTGGTGAGAAGAATTTACTGTGCAATGGCGCCACTATACAATCAAGCTCCCCTTATAGACAGCTTATAAAGAGTTTATTAATTCATTTGTAAAGTTTACACTTCATAAATCATTAATAAATGAAACTGGACAATTTTGTCTCTTTCTCGTCCTTAATTATTGCATAATAAACACTTATTAAGAATTTTTAAAGTGTTTACAGATTAGTTAATAACATATCTGTAAAACTCTTTAAAAGCCATCTATAAGGGGGCCTTRTTGTAAACTGAAACCTTYTTAAAAATACGTTACATTACAAGYGTTTGAAGTGTAAAATATTTGCACTAGGAATTTGTGGGAAAGGATGTTGAACAAATACTTGGCACCTATATTGTGGCCCCTTGATGGCCCCTTACTCAGAAAAATCCTAGATCTGCCACTGCACACAAGGCGGTTGGGACGGCTCCGTATGAGGTGGCGTTCACYRAGYAGGAGCGCATCCAACTTCACAGCAGTGCTGTCCATACAGTATTATACAGGCGTCAAGTGAGGTATTCCAAGATATGAGTAACTTTATTACTGTTATTACTCAGAATGACCTGTGTTATAGTCCACTTCCTGTTTTTTGAGAGGTCTTCAGTCCGCTTGGATCTAGGTTTGGAGGTGGACCAGAGTTTGCTTTTTTTGGTCCACATAGGAGTTTGATTATGTGTTCACACTTCCCCAAACTAACCAGATTTTCTAGACAAATGAAGAGTTAGATTAAAGCAGAATAGACAGGGCTGGTGTGCAAACACCCTTAGAAACTGATTTTAGTCCTTTCCTCTCAGAACAGTGTGGTTATGGACATGGAAGGTCTATTTCTGTTTCACAATCCCAGATTTTTATGAATAAATCATATTTTCCCTGTTTGACACTAGGTTTTACCACTTTGTCAACTTATCACACCTTATTATGTCAGGAAAGTTTATTTTGTCCCAAAAAGCATCCTTTTTATGCCAACAAATGATACAGCTCCCTACTGTCATTTTAAAACGAATGACATGAATTACTAAGTTACACATGACAGATGTAAACACTACTGCAAAGCAAAATCACAACACTTCTGGGTATACATCTTTAAAAGTTATGTTTTAATTAAATGTGTCGCATTATTCACATGCACTTGATTACGTGCCGATGAAGTCTTCTTCATTGTGTAATCTCGACAATTTCCAGAAAGAAATTTGATCACACACAATAATGAGGACATTTCTGTTCACCGTTTCATTTTATTTTTGGCTGTTTTGCCACCGTCGTTTTTCCATTTGTTGCAGAGAGCAGCAACGAAACAGAGAAATTTCTGCAACAAGGAATGCCACCCGAATGTCAAAACAATGCCAGCAGCAGCTGAGGCAGCATGATATTCAGATATACACTCCCACTCATTAACTTGGCAGAATTTGCCACTACATCTTGTTTGGTTTAAAACTGTACAACTCTAGGGTGCATTTATCAATTTGTTGTTTATTATTTTTTTTATTTTTTTGTCTCCAAGCAAACACCCCATGTATTAAGAAGAGGGGGTAAGTGCAGARAGAGAAAACCCTTGGTAACAGCTCATGAGATAGATGTGAAATAMTCCCATGGGAAGTTTGAAAAGCTTTTGCTCATAAAGTTAAAGTATTGCATATCTACACCCATCAAAATAATTGGCATATGTGCAGCTGAAGAAAAYAGTCGAAGTATTACTGAAGAGCCAGAGGGTTCCGTACACAGAGATGGTTTTTACAATGATTTAAGAGCGTGTAAATGCACTTTACATGAAGTGCAATACAACAGTATTATAACGAAGCAAMCACATTTACATAAAATCTTGATTTGAAACTTTGGTAATGCAAGCACACTTAAAAAAATAAGAAATGTATCATTTCAAGCATCTACTGTGACACAAAAGGTATTTATACTACTTGCACTTTCCCATGTTTTATAATGTTGCCAGTTTTTCACATCTACAAACTGGCCCTGTTTATTGCTGCTATCTTGATGGAAGGCCAACTTCTGTCCCAGTCCCAATAAGGTTTTCATTTTATTTATTTATTTATTTGCAATATCAATAGGTTTTCTTCTAGGATTGTCCTGTATTGAGATCCATTCATCTCCCTATCAAATTAGATCAAACTCCATGACCAAGTTCATTCCCGCAGCATAAATGTGCCACCTCCATGTTTTACGATGGTTGTGTCCAAGGTGATGAGCACCAATCATTCCTCTCCAAAATATCATTAAAACACATTTTCATGTAAATATTTTTTTATTATTATATGGCCATCAGTGGTCTTCTGTAAAGTAGCATAAAATGAGTAAAGGGAAAGAAGTGGGTAAGTTAGTTCTTGGAGTTAAAAGTAGAAAAAAATAGCTGCAGGAGAATAAACGTACATTTTATAATCATACTGTTTCCTAAATGCACCTAACTAAGCAGCGATCCAGAGGCTGCTGCACTTGAATAAAAACTGCATTCAACATAATTGTTTTGAACTGATTTTAAGCTGCGTGGGAATAATTTATTGCCATGGTTCACCGTGGCTCCCACCCAGGTAATTATTTCAGATGTGCAAGATTTATGCAAAGTGTGCATAATGTAAAACATATACACATGGACCATAGATTTTTTTTCCCTTTTTTTAATGGCATAACCTTGTCTTTTACAGGGCTGGAAACAAAGACCTGAAGTGTAAAGTAAATGAGATGCAGATGTAAAAACTTTAAACGGCATTGATAAGTTGGAAAGTTTTAGCAAAGTTACTTGTGTCATTCTCTCTTTTTTTCCCCGTATCTGTGTTATTTTTAGTTAAGTATATTCACTTCATGGAAGCACATTATCTTTTTTTCTCTAAGTTAAGCCACTGCTTGCTTTCCAGTCTTATATGTAGTCTATAGAGTTTGAACAGAATCCATTGTTTTGACCTTTTGGTAATCTCAGAATATTCATTTTCCTCTACAAAGAATTATGCACTTACAGTTAAAGGTAGAAGGAATATAATCACAGCATCCATCGCCACCTAAAATTATAAAAATAAATGCTCTTTATTATCCACCATAAGCTGCTGCTTTGCCTGTGAGGACAAAAAATAGTCCACATCAGTGTAGGGATTCTTATCAGTATGCAAAGTTATTTTGACACATTTAGATATTGGTGCAAATAATGGGACATAAGAATATTCATGATGAAAAGAACAAGCTTGAAGGCAATTTTGGGGAGAATAAATGAAAGAAATTAGTTTGCCACATGTAGAGATTTTAGCTGTTATTTACACACAGCTGAAAAAAATCCCAGTCTTTTAACAATCAGTCTGCTTGAAAATCACAAGAGTGTAATGAATACATTAGCAAACCAAAAGCAGCAAAACTTTGCCTGGAAACACTCCCTGAACACAAGTGACATGATAGCATGAAGCCAAAAGTCCCAACGTGTGTGTGTGTGTGCGTGGAAGTCTGAGGGTTCTGCAAATAGATGGCTGCCCCTGGGGTCCTTCTGCATTATTAATACAGGGATCTGTAGTTAGGGCTCTTACTCAGAAATAATATCACAGCCTACTGCATGCAATTTCAACATGATTCCTCCTCTGCTCGCCCACCAACCAATTAATCTTATTCATTGTTATTATTCTGGTGGATTAAAAAAAATGTCCTCACCTTTGCTTGAAAGTTAATCATCACATCTATTCAGCCGCATGGCTTTAAAAAAAAGAAACTGGTTGGGGGTGGTGATAGGAGGCAGAGGTTAGGAAGTAAATTGGACAAAATCCCAGCATTCAAAAGAGATGTGACAAATAACCCAGGGTCACAAATTAATGTCTACGCTGCATCAACTTGTCAAAMATGTTTCCTAGAATGCCTCCACTTTAGCTGTGGTTTTCCAGAGTTTATTATAAACTTTTGACCAGTTAGGCAGAAAGAGGCAGACACAATGGGAAACAAACTACTGGAGATGTTGGGTTTACTCGTGTCAGAGGTTGTCGGTTTCGGGGTGAGCCACCATACGAGCACAAAGCTTAAAATGAGTCATGTCAGCTTTCAGTCACAAGTGCA